AGCTTCTGCTCTGCATTTGGTGAGATCAGCTTGGTGTAGTTTATTATGACCATCTCAAACGACTTAAACCATCGTGAGGGATCGCTATCGACGACACTTGATGCGTTTGAGCCGAGCATCAAAAAGAAAACGGCCGCTGTACGAGCAGATACAAGACAAAGTGATTTTTCAAGATGACAACGCCAGGTCACATGTTGAATAACGTGTAAAAACGTACTTGAAAACGCTTAAATGGGAAGTCCTACCCCCACCCAATGAATTCACCAGACATTGAGATATTGACCTCGACCGATTATCACTTGTTCCGATCGATGGCACTTTCATTCTTATGAAGATGCCAAAAAATGGTTCGACTCGTGGTTAGCCTCAAAAGACTTGTCGTTTTTCCGACGTGTAATTCAGATGCGATGTTTCTTAATAATTTTTGCAAAGAAAGCATTACTTTTCATGAAAAATCAGCGAAAACTTATTCAAGGTGCTAATATATGTAAAAATTTCTCAGAATTAACCTGTCGAAAAAGTCAATATGTTTAAAGGAAAAAAGATATTAGGAACTGTAGTTTTAGCCGACGCATTTTGTCCAATGTGGAATGTTTCATGGCAAAAAACGAAATGAACTTATTGAAACAGAGTATCTAAAAAAAAAAAACAAACAAACAACATGTCAATAGCAAATAGAAGAATTTAAAAACTCTATTGTATATTGACATGGCCAACTGAAAAATTACGTCATTTACTTTATGTTTGGAGAGAATATTTTTACATATAGAAATTGAAGGATTCAACCGTTTTCTTTTGAACTCTTGACATATATCTTGTTTAGGTTGGCTTGGGTGAGTAGTGATTCTGTTAGGAAACGTGATATTGAGAAAAATAGCTTTCCTATTGCCTTTTTTTCCTTTATACGCGCGCGCACACACACACACGCACGCGCGCGCGCACACACACATATATATATATATATATATATATATATATATATATATATATGACGTATATGTATATATCAAAATAATACAAAAGAACAGTAAGATTTATAATCCAGAGTTCGATATATATATAGATATATATATATATATATATATATATATATATATATATATATATATATATATATATATAAAGTTGTCACTGAAACAAAAAAAAACAATGCAGCAACATAATGTTTCATGGTTGGACGTAATCTACATGGCCTGAAGATTGCTTTGAAGCATACTACTGACCTCTCTGTCCACATTTATATTTACATACGCTCCATCTCTGGTATGGAACACTTCTACCAATAAATATAGCGTACATTAAAACCATCTTTTTATCACATATATATATATATATATATATATATATATATATATATATATATATATATATATATATGTGTGTGTGTGTGTGTGTGTGTGTGTGTGTGTGAGTGTGTGTATGGTATTTTAGAAATATGAATTTTTAAAACAATATAATCTGTGATGAAGCTTTTGTTGGAGTAATTTTATTGATTCAGCTCGCAGAAACAATAAATGAAATTAAATTTAAATAAGTGATGCGATGGATAATCAAAATGACAAAGAAACAAATTGAATTCTAAAGTTTTTATTGCCTTCACGTGAAAAATGTTTGAAACGGTATTATATTTAAATACATACAAGGGAGTATAAATATACCCCCAAAAAAAAAAAAAACAAAAAACAAATAAAAACTAAATTATACGTGAATTTTCTATCTTTGCTATATTTATGAGATGAGGTATTATAACTATTTACTCTAATTTACATTGTTTGGACTCTTATCCTCATTTTTATTGTCATATGTTTTCCCCGAGTGGATAAAAGCGTTGGTTAACCTATTAACAGCCATTTTTTAAATGCACATTTTTGGCCCAGACAGGCGTCTTAGGAGTTTATTTATTCCTTATGTTTAATGACAGTAGTTACCATTGTCATTTATATAGAAACTAGAACATCAAATATATAAGTGTATAAAACATCAAAAAATAATATGGATTAGAAAGAATAAAAAATTACTTTTCAAAATAGTCATTATTTTTCTACTCGTGAAATGTAAAATTACGATAGAAAGTGTCTTCTTGCGGCTAATAATAAACACTATAAAGGCAAAGTTTTGTAAAATATACCTCTGCAAATGCACTGTATATAAGCCATTCAATGTAAATATTAGGAATAATATGTAGTGAGTTTAATTTTGACAGATCCCCAAATGGGGCTCATGGCAGGTAATGGGTTAAAGCAATCCGATAACTTGACACATTGAGTTACAGGTTCAATACCTGGCCACAGCAGAGGTGAAAAAAAACAGCCGACTCCAATTATATCCCTTTTGCTCTCTGCGCCCTCTCGTATATTTTCAACACAATTTCCCCCATAAATTAGTCCACCGCAGGAAAACCCTTAAGCATTTTGACGTGATGTAATGGTTAGCGAACTATCTCGCTAGATCAATTGCGACTGAGTAGTGGGTTCGATCCTCACTAAGTGCCCAATATTTTCGCCATTATGTCACATATAAGCTACGCTTAGAAAAGTGAGTGTTGAGTTACTAAAAGGAAATAACTGAGATATCCAGAAAAGGCATGGCATGTGGAACGAGAACAATCTACCTCGGTGGACGAAATAAAGGGCTCCTTTAGGAATTCCAATGTGTATCATCCGAAGAAGACCGGGCCGTACAACGACCGAAACTTCACTAATATAACACTAAAGATGAGGACAATAGTCTGAACAATGTGAATTTCCTCATCTTTGAAACCGTCTTTTACCAAATGCCTTAACTGTTGTTTTTACTCCAAATTTACTCCAGCGTCTGAATAGGTGATAAGTTAACTTAATATGGCAGTAGATGGAATAATCTGATGCGTCATTGTTATAAAGGAAAATGTAACATTGGGACTGATATAATAGCTAAAATTATTTTTGTTTTGCAAAAAAAAAGTAATATCAATATAATGAACGCAAGTCGGCTTTCTTAATAAGGTCGAGAACACAATAATCGAAAAATAATGGCGTTCGTGAGATAACAGGTCAGAAAAACATGTGTTGTATGATTCTATTTCGGATTACTATATCTCATAGTAATGCTTGTTCCAAAGACGATAATCTTTGATCTCGTTGCCGTAAATCTGAATTGAGTCCTAACATATTTTAGAGGACATTAAACTTCTTTTTTTTTTTTTTACGTGCGGTGTCCCAACAAGACGTGGGTGATTATAGCCTTCGACACCTTCCTGTCCTTTGCAACACTTGGTAATTTTTTGTTTTTTTTTTGTTGTTATTTCTCCCACTGTTCTTCCATCCATTTACTCAAGATGATTAAGTATGCTACGCGCTACTTTCCACTGTCCCTTTTCCCCTCAATCGGTATTGTGAGTATCTGATTTTCCATGTCCTCTCTTCTCATTACGCGTCCCAGAAATTTCAACTGCCTCTTCCTGATCTTTAGTACGCTTCCTTCTTGTTTCCATTTTATCCAAAACCTCGTCGGTCGGTCCATGGCATCCACAGCATCCTTCTGTAGATCCACATTTCTGTTACTTCGAGTCTCTTCTTCATCTTTCTGGTGATTGTCCAGCATTCGCTGCAATGTATTAGGACAGATATCACGTAACAGATCAATAGGCTTTTCTTTATTTCTAACGGAAATTTTCTGTCTCTTAATACTTTGCTTAGCTTTGGAAATACATCTTTGGGCATCGGACATTCCAGATAATACTGATTCGATCTCATTGCCGTAATAACTTGGATACAAAAAAAGGTTTACTCATACTGTCACAATTCTCAATTGTTACATATTTTGGTAAATTGAAACCAGACCAAATGATAATTAACCCATCTCACTGTTGTGCCAATCTGAAATAAGATTAGTTTTAATCTCATGATCTGAATTCTCAGTTGAACTGTCACCTATATTTAAACCTACTGGGAATTATAATCTGTCGTGTCTTATGCTTATCTCGAATACAAGAAGCCTTGATCCCAATGGCAGAATTCTGAATTGAGCCATCATCTGTTAAACCAGTTCGAATTACAGGGAATCTATCCCAACGTCTTGCTAATCTCGTATACGTTAAGCTTTGATCGCAGTATGACGATTCCCAATTGAGCCGCTAGTTCTTCATGTAAATCGAAACCGATTGAATTGATAATGTATCAGTATCGTGCTGATCTTGAATACGATAAGCTATACAACGCGTCTTAATTGAGCGGCCACCTCTTTTGTTGAATTTAAATCAGTCCAGCTTGCCGCCATGTCTGTTAATCCTCCGGCAATTTCAACTTCACAAGCCTCACAAATCGGTTTTCGAAACGAGTTTGCCCAACCAACGCGCTACGGCACACGACCTTTAGTTATTTTTTTTAAGACGCTAAAACCGTTTCTTGTTAAAAGACGAAACCACTCAGTGCGTGTTGAAGACATTTGGAAATCAAGTCGGTCCGAAAGAAGAACTAGATACCCGTAGCGCTTAAAATATACAGAAGTGATATCAATAAACCAAATATGATTTCCAAGACCGGCCATTCTTCTCAAATGACTACCGCTAAGTTAATCACGCCTGCTTTCACTCTAACACGTATATAGAGTGTTTCTATTAATCTTACACCCTACACACCTACGCTGGATTTACACTCAAATGGACATTATGGAATATATGCAGGTCGGAAGATTGATGGGATAGGACGTAGTTAAGAGCTTCAAGTGGGTGGAGATTATCAAAAATTCAAAAAGAAAACAGATGTTATTAATGTACAAATAAACATCGCCATCGTCGCCATGTTGTTTTTTCAAAGACTTCAGTGTTTTTTTTCCTCTGTGTGCGTTCTCAAACGATATGTCACATAAATTTCGTTAATATCGCGCGAACATAATTTATATTCCTTGCCAACACTTTCGTAAACGTCGTTTATATTTGCCGTTAAAATTACTTTAACAAATCAATATAGAAATATTAATAGAAATATTCAGATTTAACATCGGGCAGATGGAGAGATTTA